TGTTAGCATAGAGAGCAGTTAAATTGCCTTTCCCAAGTACAAATCAGCAGCAGACTCAATGCCTAAAAACCCAAATGGCCATCCTCGTGCTGTATAATTCAGTTCACTTTCACAAGTATTCAATCAAGAGCCAGCTAGTTAAGAAGGCATGATTAACCTGTGCTGTGTCCAAACCTGAATGAGAGCACCCATGTTATCCTTGCCTTCAATATACTCAAGTCAGAGAATTTAGAGCAAAACACAGCTGTAAGGGAACAGGGAGCAAATAGAAGTTCTCCCTGGTTGGGGGAGGGGAGGAAAATAATTTCAGGGAGAGATGGCATTTGAAGTCAGATCCTGAAAGCTTATTTAGATTTCAATGGGCAGAGGTGAGGGGAAGGGTATTCTATTCTGAGTAAGCAAATGCATTCCCAGAATGACCAGGAGTCTAATTTGGCTGGCCACTGTGTGGTAGCCACAGGGAAGCTAGAGGGATATGGCTGCGAAGATAACTGAAGTCAGGCCATAAAATGGCTTTAAATGCCAGGCATTTGGACTTTATCCCATAGGCACTATAGTCAGTGGGAAACTAGTGCTGATTTTTTAACTGAAAGTCATGATTTGTGTTGTTTTATGACACTTCTCTGCAAATCTGATAAAAGGAGAAGAAAGCCAAAGGTTCCTGTCCAGAATTAGCCAGAATCAGGAAGAAAACAAGAAATCAGACTCCAGAGGTTTTCTGTGACCAGTACAGCTCCAGTGCACGTGTAATGACCTCGGCGATTATTTGCATATAATTTGTATAAGACAAATAAACCCCATGGCCTATTAAGCAATTTTCAAATTAAGTCTTCCTCCTGTAACCACCCTGCATTTCTTCTCAGTTTGCCACTCTTCTTGAACAAAGCTCAGGGTGTGTTAGGGGGTGAAATAAACAAGCGCCCAATGGAGGATGGGGGAGGAGACACAGCGCAGTTACAATCAACTCCCATTCCAGCTGCCCCCATCTTCAAAATCCTGCTGGAGACAGGACTGCCTGCAAACAAATGAGGCTTACAGCACTGAAAAGAGCAGACTTGAGAGTGTTGTTCTCCTTGCAGATGGCACCCAGATAGCAGCACAGAAGGTGAAAACTGGTGAATCGCATTTAGAGACAAGATCTGCAGGGCTTGTGCCTGATGAGGCTTTTGCATGAAATTCAAGTGCTGGAGAGGAGAAAAATAAACATTTCCATTTGAGAGAGCAGGCTTGGTGTTGGTCTGCAAGAGTCAGCCAAGAGCAAGTGAGGGAGGCTTCCTGCTTACAGCCCAGAAGCCTCACCTAGACGACAGTCCCTTTTCTCCAAGTGCACAGCCTGCTTGGGAAGGATCTGGTGTTGCTAATCCTTCCCCTCTCCCTTGTGGAGATACTGTCCTCTTGCAAAGAGCCATGCAACAAGGCCTTCTCAGAAAGGCCAATAAAGGCAGATTCACTGACTGGCTGGGGGTGATGGAAGAGGAGAAACAGAGGGAGAGTGGCAGGGGGGGGGGGGCTCTCTCTCTCTCTCTCTCTCTCTCTCTCTCTCTCTCTCTCTCTCTCTCTCTCTCTCGTCTCTCCCTTCCTTTCTTTTTCTTTCTGTCTGTCCTCCTTTCTTCCTCTGTTTCTTTTTCTCCTTCCTTCCCTTCCCCCTTCCCCCTTCCCCCTTCCTCCTACCTTCCTTCTTTCTAGCTCTACCATCTACTTTCATTTTCTTCTCCCCTCCTGTCACCTTTTGTGAACCCCAGCATTGGCTTGGCAC